ACTTACAAGTAAGTCGTCCAGAAGACTTACACGTAAGTCGTCCAGAAGACTTAGAAGTAAGTCGTCCAGAAGACTTACAAGTAAGTCGTCCAGAAGACTTACAAGTAAGTCGCCCAGAAGACTTAGAAGTAAGTCGTCCAGAAGACTTACAAGTAAGTCGTCCAGAAGACTTACACGTAAGTCGTCCAGAAGACTTACAAGTAAGTCGTCCAGAAGACTTATAACTAAGTCGTCCAAAAAACTTCCAGATCTGAAAAACCTGCATTTCAAACCCAGATCTGAAAAATCTGCATATAAAAAAACATTCAAATGGCTTAAAACACACAGAAAATTAGTGAAAGATTAGATATATATATACTTTTTTAGAAAACATAATATACATCCAAATGAAGATGAGAACCATCTGATTAAAAACCTGCAAAAAAAAAAGATAGATTAGTGAGAAACATGAAACATAACTGAAAAATTCATATAAAGTTAATAGATCCATCTTTAAATGAATGGAATATGAGAATCATGTGATGAAAAACCTACAAAACAAGATAAGTTAATGAGAAATACATGAGACAAAAACAATAAATTGATAAAAAGTTTGGTGTTTATAAGTTCAAAGAGATTATAGAGAGATTGGAGAGTTCTAGAAAGATGAACATTACATTTTTTGTTGCAGACATTTGAGAGGAGGAGAGAGAATGTGGAAATTTTTCTTTATATAGGGAAACAAAAAAAAAATTAGGTTAAATATTTTTGTTTCAGATGACTGAAATGTAAGTTGTCCAGGAGACTTTAATAATTTTAGCGGGAAACTAAAATATTTTTAGCGGGAAACTAAAATAGAAGACTTTTGAGAAGACTTACAAGTAAGTCGTCCAGAAGACTTAGAAGTAAGTCGTCCAGAAGACTTGCAAGTAAGTCGTCCAGAAGACTTGAAAGTAAGTCGTCCAGAAGATACAAGTAAGTCGTCCAGAAGACTTACAAGTAAGTCGTCCAGAAGACTTAGAAATAAGTCGTCCAGAAGACTTATAACTAAGTCGTCCAGAAGACTTACAAGTAAGTCGTCCAGAAGACTTACAAGTAAGTCGTTCAGAAGACTTACAAGTAAGTTGTCTGGTTTAAATTATTCAAGCGGGAAAATAAAATTTTTAAAAATTTTAGGCGGGAATATTAGTACTTACTTGTAAGTCGTCTGTGTAAAATTATTTACCAGACGACTGATATTTCAGTTGTCCAGACCCTAAACCCTAAACCCTAAACTAAATTGACTAAATTAATTAATTAACCACGTTATAAAATCAAATTATACTTAAATAGTGTTTACTATACACAGAATAAACACATTTAGGTAAATTTTTAATTTTTCAAAAAAACATTTATGCTTTCGAAAATCTAACCCTAAGAAACACATACAATACTACAACATATATTGGTGAAACCTAAACTAAAGAATATCATGACTCACTACTTTCATTCATCTATGCTGAAAACAACTGACTTTTGTTATATCTTAGTTTATATCTCTTAAGACATATGTTAATTACATAATCCCAATTTTTCATTTATCAAGATATTTATTACAGAAATTTTAAATTATTTTTAAGAAAAACTGTCCCAGACGACTTTAAGTTAAGTCGTCTGGGCAGACGACTGACGAGGGCTAAAAACGTAAAAAAAAATACTCTTTTTTGTTTGTTCATAAGGGGTTAGTTGTAATTTCAATAGCCTTTTAAGTTACTTTTGCATTTGATTCAAGTTTGGATTTACTTTTGCATTTCAAATCAAGTTTTGAGTCATATTTGACAATTTTCCCTTAATCCCGGCATCGAGTTACTTTTCAGGACCTCCGTTACAATATTATCACTGCAATAGAGTTTAACCGGTAAATGAATTGCTGCAAAGATTCAAAACACCCTATGGACTGCAAAATATTGATACTTGGGCACAACCATCCTAAAATTTTGATGACCTTCAAAAGATTCACGTCAAGAAAATGCTTATATTTCACCATGATATAAGTATTACTGTTAGACATAATTTTATAGGACGATTCAGATGGTATAATTAGACGAAATCTTCATAACACAAATAGAATAAAGTTATCGGCTTTAAAATATCTTGTAGTCCATAATAATAAAAATTAACCAGAGTTTAAAAAGATCAATTTATAACACAAAATTTGAATTAAAAGGAATGATTTATACAAATATTAAAATAAGTAATTACCTTTTTGATTTTTTCAACAAAACATTGTCACATTTTGTTTTTCTTTTTTGTTTTTCCTACATTAATGGACTGAATGTAGAAACATTTGCCATATACAACATGAGACCATACAAACAATGTACCAACCAAACTGTTGTAAGACCCAACGCTGCACCCTGTTTGCTTGAGCTTCTTTGATGACTAAAATTGCAACTCAAACTCCAGCCTCCTCAATTGCAGCAGACATTGAAGCCGATGCTTCTTCCAGCGTTCGCCTCTTTTGAACCGCGTTAAAGGCCTCAATGGTGTCTCCTTCAATCCAATCGTCATAGTCATCCATACCAATACCACATTCTAATCCAGCACTCACCTAAAACAATACCAACAACAATACAAGTTTATATTGACTTGGAACATATCTTTTAGCGGTGTAAGATGGATGTTGATGGTGGGAGAGTATTTACCTCTTTCACATTTTCTTTGACACGTTTAAGAGAATCAAGGACACCAACATGGACTGTTTTACCCTTCCTGATCACCCTGATGCCACAATCTTTGACAAATTTCCCTTCATTCACCATGCATCCAGCCACACGGCCACTTCCACTGCTGAAAGTAGCTCGAACTTCTGCTGACCCTATTGGGATTTGTTCCTATCAATAACCACATGAATCTTCAGTTTTCAAAAACTCCAAAATGGCTCATGAAGTGAGTCTACAACTTAATTTTTAAGATATTTCATCATGTTTCAACTCTAAAATAGGTATGTTGATCAGATCAGACAACAACAAAACGCTATAGAAGTGGTATTTAAACCGGTGCTAACCTCAACAGACTCAAGAAGTCCTTCCATTGCGTTTCGTACATCGTCGATAAGCTCATAGATAACTCTGTATAGTCGGATTTCAACACCTTTATTTTCTGCAGCTTTTTTCACAGAGCCAGATGCTTTGACATTAAATCCAAATATGATGGCTTCACTCGCTGATGCTAGATCAACATCACTGTTGCTCACATCCCCTGTCGCTTGTAGCAAAAATTTCAATGTCACATTCTCTTGAGGAAGGACTTGCAGAGCTTGTCTGACAGCTTCAATGGATCCCTAGTAGTCACATTGGTGATTGCATCAGCATAAATAAGAAACGACAAAGGAAACAAAATATTTTAAGACCATGAGCTGATCAAGCTGGCTCTTTACCTGTACATCGACCTTCAAGATGATATTAAGCTGATGCAAATCTAAGCCTGACATCTTTTTAGCTGATACAGCAGAAGCTAAGGATGAAAGCGTGACCTTTCCATCCCCAGCCTTTGCAGATATTCTTTCATCTCGTAGTGATACAGCACGTGCCTCTGCCATCTCACGCGCCATGTCAAGTGAAGAGACAATCTCAAATTCGTCACCAGCAATGGGTACATTGTTTAAACCAATCACCTGCAATTTCGGTAAAGATCCTCAGATCAGATATCTAAACCAATCGATACTTGAGAAAATAAACGTGTAGTTAATGTATGAAACAACAGACCTGTACAGGTATGGAGGGTCCAGCTTCATCAACTCGTTCCCCGCTGTGATCAAATAAAGCTCGTACCTAAACACAGAAACAAAGCAAGACCAATGTAAGGTAAGTTCCTAGCCATTCTATACCATCTGCATAGTGTGGATTGATGAGAATACGAAATTTTGGATTAGACCTTTCCGAAAGCTTCCCCACAAACAACAACATCCCCTCTCTTCAATGTGCCCTTCTGAACAATGAATGTCGCAAATGGTCCTTTTGCTTTATCAAGTCCAGCCTCAATAACAATGCCCTTGGCATTTCTGTGTGGATTTGCTTTCAACTCTTGCAACTGAAACAACCAAAATACCATCATGTAAGCGTTTTTAGTCTAAAGCAATCCTTAGCAAGATTTTGAGCCCACTTTGGAGAAAGTATGTAAGTCAATTTGTAGCCACTAACATCGTGTGCTTTCAAGAAGAAAATAAAATTAGGATTATTAAAACTTAAGAAAATTGATCACATCAAGTGGACAATCTGCCAACTTAAGACTTTTAGTGTAATAAAATATCAAGCAAACCTGTTATCATGGGATGAATAAGAAACTAACCTCAGCAACAAGCATGACAGTTTCCAACAGATCATCGATATTCTCCCCTTTCAAAGCACTGATCTGTCAAAGTCAAATATTGAGCATGATATTAGACCTCACGGAATATATAGAGCCTGAAACATATATGCGATGAGAGTATGCATTCCAACCTGAACCATTGGAACATCACCACCCCAATCTTCAGGCATCAAACCAATTGAAGAAAGCTCTTGCATCACTCTCTCTGGACTAGCTCCGTCTTTATCTATCTGGTACAGGAAAAGGATTCAGAAAAAGAAAAATTACGTATACACATAGTAAAGTATAATAACCAAACATTACTCTGCGTAACAATTTTTCCCAACTCAGATGCTACATGAACCTATACCTTATTTATAGCTATGACTATAGGGACACCAGCAGCCTTTGCGTGAGCTATTGCTTCATTTGTTTGAGGACGGATTCCATCATCAGCAGCAACCACAATGATTGCGATGTCAGTGACCCGTGCTCCGCGAGCTCTCATTGCACCAAATGCCTAGACAAGCTCTTAAAAGTCAGATAAGCAAATTTATGGTATGCGCAGTGATAGATGTGAGATACAACTTGCAAGAAAAAGGATAGACCTCATGTCCAGGAGTATCAAGGAAAACGCATGGCTGAACCTTCCCATCAACAGGAACTGACACCTTATATGCACCAATTCCTTGTGTAATTCCCCCTGCTTCTGAAGCTGCAACCTGGCAGATATCCAGAAAAGAGACATTAGCTGAAACCGTTATCTAGTACTAACATTGACACTAAGCGAATGAATAAACACAATGAATAATGAGGTTTTCGTACCTTGCTTTTTCTGATATAGTCCAGAAGAGTGGTCTGCAAAAATAGATGAATATAGGAAATACATTAGGACAAACATGCTGCTTTAAAAAAAAAAAAACTCTGCATATCCGAATAAGAAGGAGAAGAAAAAAGTTAGAGCAAACTGTGTCTACCTTTCCGTGGTCTACATGACCCATTATGGTGATGACAGGAGGCCTGTCTTCTAACTTGTCCAAATCTTCTTCATCAAAAATTTCCTTTTTCTTTGCCATTTCTTCAACTTGAACTGAATCAGCATCCAGGACCTCAACATCATAATCTTTACAAATCATCCTCACCATCTCTCTGTCCAAAGTCTGCACACCATCAGGTCTAATCCCTTTGGAATATAGATACCCAAGGATGTCACCTTCACCTATGGCCAAGTTGTAAGCCAAATCCTCAATGGACATGCCTTCTTCCTCAACCTCTAAAATTTCAGCTTTAACAGGTGCTGCATCTCTTGCAGCCTGGAGTCTTGCAGCTTTCCTACTAGCTTTACTCCACTTTCTCCCTTTTCTACCTGATCCAGGAATGGAGACATTCAACTCCGATGCATCTTCATCAGCGTCGTCTTCAGCAGCCATTCTTCGCCTTGGATTAGCTGCATTCCTTTTATTACGGTGCTCAACTCTGAACTTGCTAGAAGGAGGACCTTTTCCAGGCTTAGTAGGAGCTAACACAGCCTGAGAGGCCGCAGGATCAGCACTTTTTTTCTTGGAAGCAAACTTATCAACCAATATAGGCTTCCTTTCTTTACCCTTTGTGCTAGAATCAACCTCTTCAGAAACTGGAGGCTTTGAGGCCATACCAACATCTTTCAAAATGGGACCTGAAGGTTTTGATGACATACCAACATCTTTCAAAATGGGACCTGAAGGTTTTGATGACATACCAAGATCTTTTAAAATGGGTTTCTTCACAGGTGGTGGAGCTACCATAGGCTTCCCTTGCAGCTGTGGCTGAGCTCTTAAAGGTGGTTGAGGTCTTAGAGGCGGCTGTGATGGTGACAACTGAGTACCTGATTTCCCCTTACTATCAACTTTAGGTTCTTCCTTAACAACTTTTTCCACAGCTGCAACAGCATCTCCCTTACGCCACACACTCTTCATCGTCTTCGTCTTCCTTGTCCCTCCACCACCAGCAACGGCACCGTTTTTGGAGTCACCACTGTTGGCACTAGGCTGTGACGGTTTAACACCCTCACCACCCCCTTCTTTCTTACCCGGTTTTGGAATCTCTAAACTCTCAGCTTTATCCAACACTTCACCAAGAGATTCAATAACCTTATTCCTCTCTTCCTCTCCATCAAACTTAGCCCCGTTTGATAACTCCTTACTCCAAGGAGCAGAACTACTCACTCCAGAACCCCTCTCCACTCTCGCCACAGGGGGTTTCAACACAGGTTTAGGAGCCTGCTTCAACACGATCTCACTATCATCCCCTTCTTTAAAAGAGTTAGAATCTATAGAAACTGAGTTGCTGCTTGCCGCCTCAGCGATGAAGTCAGTAGTACTAGTAGTAGCTGAAGACGAAACAGAATATCTACACAACCATCTCTTACTCCCCTTAACGCCTCTCCTTGAGAAAGAAACCCTCTTTACTAATGCATACGACGAACAAGTTCCGGAAACACTAGCACCAGCTCCTCCTGGACTAACCAGAGAAACCAACGACGGCACTGTGCCGACGAGAACCAGCATCGACGGCATCTAAATCAACACAGAACACGAACAAAAACAAAGAAATAAACAAAAATTCACAATAACATCAGAAGCTCTTATCTCATTCCAATGGATTTCGACTAGGGTAGCGGGTTTATCGACGAATCAAAAACCGATATCATAAGCTAATTTTACAATCAATGAGCAATTTGGATAGATAAAGAGATAAGTGGAGGAAGGAAGAAGAAGAACAGAGATAACTTTGAAGTTGAGCTTGTGTGGGTGTGGCTGCTTCTATGCCTGGAATTTTTCGCGGATTTCCGATAAGGCCATTTTACAAAACAAAACAAAAAATAAAAGCCATAATAAATATATTTTCTTTCTCGACCAAAAAATAAAGGCTTTATTATGTTCTGTCCGAAAATTTCTGGTCCACTAGATTTTCTGTCTGGGCGCGAAAACAAGAAGTTAAGCTATTGGGCTCAATTGTAAAAAGCCCATTTATAAATTTGACCTGTCTACTTATAACTGACACACGTGGCGATATTCTAGCCGAGTACTACTGTAGGGTAACTTCGTCATTATCGATAAGAAAAGAAGCATTAAACAAAAAGTAAAATTCGATTAATAAATAACGTAGAGAGAGAGACTTTTCTCTCTCTTGTCGCTCACTGTGTTTCGAAGCTCGATTTGGAGAACGAGAGAGGAGATGAAGGAAGACGATGTGAGCTCGCGAAACGTAAACCCTAGGAGTAACCGTAACAGTGTAGCCTCTGCTTCCGCTTCCGCCTCTGCTACTCCCGTCGATAGTCTCCGACGACGCGCTAGATCGCCTTCTCCTCCACAGACCGCTGCCGCCAGGTAATTAAGTCTCCACGTAAGGTAGATCGAATCTCAAAATTGAGGAATTTGTTGGGTGATTTGGAATTGAATCTAGGGTTTCGTTGATTGGATTTGTGTGTTTGGCAAATTTGAATCTGGGAGTGGTTTAATTTTTCGTTAAATTAAGGATTTGTTATTGATAGTTCTGTGGGAGCATCTTCGCCTGCGGTTCCGGTGAACGCTGGAAGTGTGGATTGGACAGGGCATGGGATGGGATCATCGGGAGGAGGACGTTCGTGCAGGCCTTGGGATAGAGGAGATTTACTTAGACGCCTTGCAACTTTCAAGCCTTCTAATTGGCTTGCCAAACCCAAAGTGAGAGGCTTTGTTTTTTCTTTTTTTTATGCATTTTCGTATGTATAGCAAGAAGTTCAGATATTATATATATATATATATAGTGATGAAATTTTCTTTGTTCTGGATTCTGATAAACTTAAGAAATGGCCGCCTTTAGGTTTTTTCTTGGTTCCAATAGTATATTTAATGTGTCTTTTATGTTGAAAAGTCAATCATATGAAGTCATGAAAATGATGCATTCGTTAGAAAATGAAAACAAATGAGGAAGGCTAGTTAGATTGATTCATTTTGTGAGGTTATTTACTTTTTTTTCTTCTTTCTCTATTTTCGATGATATCTGTTCCAATTTTCAACTGATTGAAAGAAAGGTTGTTTGACTAAACTGTGTTGTCATGTTACTTTTTTTACTACAGACGGCTAGTTCTTTGGCTTGTGCTCAGAAAGGATGGGTAAGTGTTGACCTGGACAAAATTCAATGCGAGTACTGTGGATCAAGTCTACATTACTCTCCTCCACAGCAGCAGTTGAATCAGCCTCAAGGTCAGTTCTTGTTATTGACTGAACTTAACTTATTTGGTGCCGCTAATTTTGATCAATAACCACATTCGACGAATGAAAAAGAGTTTATTTTGGGGTCGTAGTCTCTCTCGCTGTCATTTTTTTTTCTTAAGCAAGAAAGATTATTAGACATGAATTTGCAGCTTCGCTGTATATGTTGTTAATGTTTGAGATTCCTTATCTTTTGATAACAGCTGATAGCATCAGGGAAGAATTCTCCAAGCAGCTTGATGACGCACATGAGAGCTCTTGTCCTTGGGTGGGAAATTGCTGTCCAGAAAGCTTAGTTCAGTTTCCTCCAACTCCTCCATCAGCCTTGATTGGAGGTTACAAGGATCGTTGTGATGGGCTCCTACAATTCTATTCTCTACCCATCGTTTCGGTGTCTGCAATTGACCAGATGCGTGCTTCAAGACGACTGCAAATTGACCGCCTTTTGGCACAGCCCCATGATGATCCCAGTTTAAGAATGGATGTCTTAGCTGCAGAAACGTCCAAACAAGGGGCCCTCAGTAATTACTTGAGAGTAAGTCTTCAGGAATATGTGCCGTTAAATTTGTAAAACTTCACGCTTTTCTAGCCATGTGTTTCTAATTTGGATTTTATCTTGTAGGCTCAAAAGCTGATAAGCCTATGTGGATGGGAGCCTAGATGGCTTCCAAACATCCAAGATTGTGAAGAACATTCGGCCCAATCAGCTAGAAATGGGTGCCCTTCAGGCCCATCTAGAAATCAAAGTCGTTTTCAAGATCCTGGTCCAAGCAGAAAACAGTTCTCAGCTTCATCCCGAAAAGCCTCTGGAAATTATGAAGTTTTGGGTCCAGAATATAAATCAGAATCCAGATCACCTTTGCTAGATTGTAGTTTATGCGGTGTAACCATCAGAATTTGGGATTTCCTGACCACTTCCCGGCCAGTTCCACTTGCGCCTATCAATTCTAATCTTCCTGAAACAAGCAAGAAAATGGCACTGACACGTGGCACTAGTGCAACAAGTGGAATCAATGGATGGTTTGCTAATGAAGGCATGGAACAGCAGCAAAACGAAGTTGCTGACGAGGCTGAAACATCTGTTAAGAGGAGATTAGTATCAAACGCAGGTATAAGCTTCTATCAAACTGCAGCTGGTGCATCATCCTCTGCGCAGATGAACATGTCTGTGACACGTGATAATTACCAATTTAATGATAGAGGAAAGGAAGTTCTGTTAAGGCAGCCATCAGGAAGTGAGGTTGGTGATCGTGCTGCTTCGTATGAGTCACGAGGGCCAAGTACTCGTAAGCGCAACCTGGAGGATGGTGGAAGCACGGCTGATAGGCCTTATGTACGGATACAACATGCAGACAGTGTTGAAGGGACTGTTGTTGACCGTGATGGTGATGAGGTTAATGACGATTCAGCAGGGCCTTCAAAGCGTAGCCGAGGCTCTGAAGTGAATGAAACTTATCTTCCCTCTTACGGGAGAGACTTATCAGTGGGTGGGCCAAGTCACTCAGTGGATGCTGAAAACGAGAGGGAAGTAAATAGAAGTGACCCATTTAGTGAAGGAAATGAACAAACTATGGCTTTCCCAGGTGCCAGAGACTCCGCACGTGCTTCCTCTGTCATTGCGATGGATACAATTGCCCACAGTGCCAATGATGATTCTATGGAAAGTGTGGAAAACCATCCAGGGGATTTTGATGACGTAAATTATCCCCCTCCGGCGACAGCTCAAAGTGCCGATCCTTCTGAACTGAATTTCAGCAATCAAGCTCAGCAGAGTGCATGCTTCCAACCAGCTCCTGTTCGGTCTAACGCTGAACCAGGCATTAGCAGCATAAATGACGGTGAGGAAGTAATGAACACAGAGACTGTCACAGCTCAGGGAAGAGACGGACCGAGTATAGGCGTCAGTGGGGGTAGTGTTGGAATGGGTGCAAGTCACGAGGCAGAGATCCACGGAGCTGACGTTTCAGTCCATAGGGGAGATAGCGTTGTTGGAGACATGGAGCCAGTTGCGGAAGTCATAGAAAATCTAGGACAATGCGGCGAGTTTGCACCAGACCAAGGCGTTACTGATGATTTTGTTCCTGAAGAAATGGACCGGGAAGGTAGTAGGCTCGGGGATATTCAGGATAGGGTGTCTCAGTCCGTTGCAAGGGCGGACAGTGGCTCTAAAATTGTTGATTCATTGAAGGCTGAATCTGTTGAAAGCGGCGAAAAGATGAGCAATGTAAACGAAGATAGTGTTCACCCATCATTGTCGTGCAATGCGATTGTGTGTTCTGGTTTTGAAGCATCTAAAGAAGAAGTGACCCAGACGTGGAACGAGTCTCCGCTCAACGCTGGCTTTGCACTCCCTGGATCAAGTTACACTGCCAATGACCAAGGTCTGTAGAAATGTATTCCTTTTAGTTTATTAAACCCTACTGGTGCAAAGAGAGTAATATGATAGTATGATAACATATGCTGATTCATTTTCAGGGCCTTTGAACGGAGATAGCAATGATGAAATTGTGGAGTTTGATCCAATAAAGTACCACAACTGTTACTGCCCTTGGGTAAATGAGAATGTGGCTGCTGCTGGATGTAGCAGCAACAGCTCAAGCTCTTCAAGTATCGCTGAGGCGCTTTGTGGATGGCAATTAACACTTGATGCCCTTGATTCTTTCCAGTCACTGGAGAATTCTCAAATCCAGCCAATGGAATCAGAATCAGCTGCATCTCTCTGCAAGGTTTTTGCAACAACTTCCCTTCTCTTCCCTTCCTTTTCCTTTAATTTCCTTTCCCAAATATGATCTAGAAACCTGACACTTCTTGGTATCAACTGTCTTGTATGTAGGATGATCACCGACCTCCTTCCCAGAAGCTCTTGAAACGCCACTCTTTCATCAGCAGACATGGGAAGAAATAAGAAATTTACTTGCAAGGTACTATTGCAAAAAAAAAAAACTGAATATATATAAAACCAGTCTGATCACTGGTTAGGTTCTAGCTTGGGTTTTTCTTTTAGCAGTAAAAATAAAAGAACTTTGCATAATCTCTCGGACAACCTGTGTTTTTAAGTTTGTGTAGTTGTTAAAGATACCTGAACAGAGTTGAGAGGATGATACTCAATAATCTTATATTTAATTCATGTTTCTAATTATGTTTTCTCACTGCTTGGCCCTGTTTATCATCATTCTGAGATCTGATCAACAACTTTGGTTGGATTCATATAAATTTACGAGATAACGGTAAATAAGGGTGAAATGGACAGATTACAAACATTATTTTCTTGATCAAAGTTATTAAAAGAAAACAGTTGAGACATTGTACACACGACAAATTAGAGATTGTCTTTAAAATAAAGAAAGCAACGGATCAACTTCCAAAGACAGCAACTTCGACGTTTTTGTTGGAGTCAACGATGGCTGGAGGATCAAAGCGAGTAAAGAGCTTATAAGAGGAGATGAGAGAGAGGATGACATAAAAGCAAACCACAACGAATGTGATTATAACAGAAGCAGTGGCTTTATGGCAGAAACTGCCAAATGAACTGCAAGCATCGCTCCATGTTATGGCATCGTCTCCTTTGTACGCTAAGTACAGAACTTCAGTAGACACAGCTCCAGCAGCAAGAACCACGTAGGTCAGAATCTGTGATGACCATGTTATCAAATTAGTTTAACTAGTATTATTAAGTGGATTCATTTGATAAATAAAACCGAATGTATCTAATATGAGACCTGGTCGAGACAGAAGAAGGTCCAAACACGAGGCATTGTGGAAGAAGAACCAGGCATGGCTGCAATAGCTGCTGAGAGAAGAGAGTAGCCTGCACATATTCCATTTGCGTGCACCAAGTACCTAATTGTAAGCTCATTAAAACCATTACTAATAATTATTTATGCAAATATATCATATAATCATTTAATCCTTCTGAATCAAATCCTGTTCATGCTAACCTATATAATCACCTTCTTTTAGGACTATATAAACAGATAATTAACGCAAACTTTATTTGGTTTCAACGGTCCAAAATACTTAATAATCATCTCTATATTAGGGTTCTTATTACAAACTCTGACAAAAAAAACAATAATATATATGTAATATACGCATCATGCAGACATATGTGGAGAAGATACCTGAAAGCAGAGAGACTGGAGTAAGAAACTTCACCGTACTCATTAGTCTGAGAGTCTTTAAGCATGATAACAAGCGCCGCAACACAAAGACCAACCGGAGCTAACCGAAGCATTGTCTCCACGGTTCTGATTCCAGTACTAGCCTCCTCCCACTTCTCTGTCGCAGCACCAGCGGAAACACTGTGGCTAGGCTTGAGATGATCATTCATCTTCTCCATTTTCTTCTTCAAATTTCTTTGATTTTTTTTCTTCTTTCTCTAGCTCTTGTTATTATGGTTGCTTGAGAGGAAAATGTGGTTATAAAAACAAGTGGTGTGTGTGATATTAAATAAAAGCGAGTGTTGGATCGATAGGGTTGGTGGAATGCATTTAATTTCGATATTCATGACCCTCCTCGCACTTCCCTAGGCGAAAACATTTAAGGGCTTCTAATTTGACAACAACACTAGTACGCTACATATGTGAACATTCATCGCTCCACTTCGAATCTAGATAGGCTATTTATAAATTCATTCGCTATATTATTACGAAAGCTCTAGAATCTATTGTTTTCACCCCTGTCATCTCTGAGCGGATATGGCGGAATTGGCAGATGCTATTAATAAAATCAGTTTTTATATTTTTTACTTTTGCCGGTTGTTCGTAGTCAAGTGGCAACTGAGCTCTGACTTCGCACCTTAGGGATCTCATTCTAAAAAACTCTCAATAAACATGGTCTAAAAAACATATACTAAAACCCCTATCTTAAAAACCCTCAATAAACATGGTCTTAATTATGTTTTGAACTTATATTTTCCGACAACGTTAACCATATTTATACGATAGTTGTCAAATGTTTAAGCTGATCCAATCTCGTGACCGACAATAGATCCAGAAGTTAGTTGTTTCTTTGTAGAGAACAAATAAATAGTGTAATCTATGATTGCATGGTTAGTTGAATTAATTAAAGCAGCTAACTGCGAATTATATAGTTCACCAATAACTTTTGGTGGATCAAATGAATACTCTTAATTAGCTGTAAATTTTCAAAAGCATAAAGCCATATCCATATTTTGTTGGTTAACAGCATAAGCCATCTATATTCCGTCTAAGCTTTTTTCTTTGTTTGAAATCTGATAAATATCATGAAATATTGAAGTATTATGAGCAAGTAGTTGAAAGATCAAAAAAAAAAAAGTTGAAAGATCAAAACAGTATGTTATATTATCATATCTTAAAACGCTGAGTCTGATGTTCAAAATCTCTGGAGTTATATTCACACAAATTTGTCTCAAAACTCATTAAATCTTCAATTTGGTTTTATTGATTTGATTTTTGAGATTAGACTAAACTTAAAAGAGAAAATAAATTTAATATGGATTAACACACTTTTAGAAAATAGGAAAACAAAAATACAAATTTCACATAAAAAACAGAACATAACAGAGTCTGCTTGATACCGAACCATATTTTTCCTTATGTGTTCATGAGTCTGAACTTCAGACTCATTTCGACAACATGACAAAGATCTACTCAACTCCAAGTTTCCTTCTGAGAACATAAGCATACTCAATAATCTTGTCAGAATCAGCTATTGACTTAACCACGCTCTCTCTCTCTAAACACCTCTTGGTCCATTGAATCAATTTTGGGAACTCTGCTTCGATACTGAACTCACCAAACTTCTCAATGGCTTTGAACCAACTGTAGTATCCCATTAATGCAATGTCTACGAATCCGAATACGTCACCACCATAGTAAGGTTTGTCTCCAAGCTCTGTTTCAAGTGTCTTGAAATGTTCAAGCAAATCTTTCTTGGCTGTAACTTGTTCTTCTCCTATTGTTCCCCATACTTTCCATGATGGGTCGTAAAACTGAACTCACACGACTCAACATCAAAGTCATAAATCATTAGAAACTTTTGGGAAACTACGAGTACTTAAGATCATTAATAAAACATTTAAGAACCGATTTTTAATTTTTTTAATTAAAAATTAACCGTTTCTTATATTCCGTTAAGAAAGTCACCTTAAAACTCCCATTAATCATGTTTTTATATTTAATTCAAAGTGATCAAAAGAATATTAAAAGATCAATATCTAAGGAGGAGTTTAAACCTTTTTGTCGATGAAATCACCCCAGAATCTAGCTTGAGCTTTCTGGTAAGGATCAGAAGGGAGGATAGGGTATGTATTGGACCAAACCTCGTCGATGTACTCAAGCTGGATAAGAGATTCACAGATCTGTTTACCTTCGTGGATGAGAACAGGAATCTTCTTGTGAATTGGATTCATCTCGTTGGGCAAAGATGTCTTCACCCAAGGGTTTGTTTCCTCGTACTCATAGGCCACTCCTTTCTCAGCCAAAGCTATCTTTGTCGTCGTCATCGTGAACATGCTTGGCCAGTAATCAAGAAGAATCACTTCGTCGGCCATTTTTTTGAGATCCAGTTTAGCTCTGATTGATCACCAACTATTTTTAACGATACCCACTTACTATTATCTTTCTTGAAAATGTAGAATGAGGTTAGTACTTTCTAGTTTATTATATAGTATCATCGACCACGAAGTAACATGACATGATTAATTTTTGGTATTTTGTTTTTAAATTATTAATATTTTTTCTCTAAAAAAAATTATAAATATTTTATCCTTGTAGAATGTGGACTATGTTGTTCACGTTCACGCCATGACTTATTTCTTACATTACATGTCAACTAACATTTCGATTCAGATGGCTACCACTATATTATTGAGAGATCTTAAAATAAATTCAATAAAAAAAATTGATGTTTACAATTCATAATAACATAACACAACACAACATACCATTATACAAAAAAAAAACATACCATTATACAAACCAGTCAATTACATGCCATGATATCAATGATACTGAGTAGTTAATTTTTAAAATATTATATTTGATGTATGTTTTATTGGATAACAAGAGTATGTGTGATTCATTGGATAACAAGATTTATATCTATAGATATTAATTTCAAATATACTATTTCAACATTTTAATAAAAGAATACTTTAAATGAATTAATTGTGTTAAAGAGGTAATACACTGAAGCTTTTTTAAAAAAAAAAAAAAAAATTATTATAACAATCTGAAACTGGAGTAAATTCGATTACAAACGGGAAGCAATTATCGTACAGTAAAACCATCGGTGGATGTTACATTATTATGATGACTCCGAACAAAACAGAAATACGACAGAAATTGAAAAGAAAAAATACAGAACAGAAATTAAAATTCAACACATCTACTCGATACCAAGTCTTTTCTTTAGCTCAGGAATGTACTTAGTGACCTTGTCAGAATCAGGAAGAGACTTAGCCACACTCTCTCTTTTAAGACACCTTTTAGCCCAAGCAATCACCTTTGGACACTCTGCTTCAATGCTGAAGCTGGCAAGTTTCTCATATGCATCAAACCAGCTATAGAATCCAATGAAAGCTATATCCACAAAACCGAATGTTTCTCCTCCAAAGTAAGTCTTGTCTCCAAGCTCGGTCTCTAGCGTCTTGAGCACCTCAATGAACTCCTTCTTCCCCGCTTCTATCTCCTCTCCTTTCCCTGCCCATATCAACCTCGTCGGACCATTCACCTAAACCACAATTTTTTTAATCAGATCAAACCAAACACTAATGTAACATTTTCTTGTCCTATCTTAAATATTTTCTTTTATACCTTTTTGTCGATGTAATCTGCCCAAAACTTGGCTTGAGCCCTTTGGTAAGGATCAGAAGGGAGGAGCTGGTTTTCACCAGGCCACGTCTCGTCGATGTACTCAACCACAATGAGAGATTCACAAATCGGTTTACCATTGTGGATGAGAACCGGGATTTTTTTATGAACCGGGTTCGTCTCGATGAGAATCTGACTTTTGTTGAATAGATCTTGTTCCCTGTAGTCGAACTTGATGTTTTTCTCTTCCAGAGCAATCATTGCCCTCATCCCGAACATACTTGGCCAGTAACTCAGAAGAATCACCTCGTCCGCCATTTGTTGCTCTTGATCTGATAACTAAAGAGATATTTTATTTCTTTGTTTTGTTCCTTGCAAGTGTGTTGTGAAAGAGAAAGAACCAAGCTCCTGTAATTTATAGAGCGACAGTTGATTACGCAACTGCATACGTCATTGAAACTTTCGATGGGTTTCAAATAGCGGTCAACATGGCTACTTTAGGGACAAAATTTATCAATATATATATTTTCTTTTTTGATAACAAAGAAGAATTTTGACTCTAAACTTTAATATTTCTTTGGTCCGAAGCAAAATGAAACCAATAATACGTTGTAAAACGCCTATTTTCCGGGGTTTTGAACAAGAAGCATAACATTACTACTATATGTGTTTAAGCTAACTGGTCTCATATCAGGTGGTAATTTTATCAAAATATAACAGTGAAGTTCATAGTAAATTTGATATTACTTCCGGTCGGATAAAAACTCTTTAGAATACATGAGAAATTCACATAGAATATATCTTTACATAAAGTGGTCTAAAAGTGTCAATTTAACACTAAACTATCTGAGGATAATATATATGACTTGGGGCCTGTTCGTCTGCTCATTCAACTGAGCCATTTGAATGAAGCTGAGCCTGTTGTTCGTTTTGACAAAAAATGTATGGCTCATTCAATTGATTCAGTTAAATGGTTTTCGAAAATCTAGTTTTAATTTGAAGAATCAGTTGACTGAACCGAATCGGACCAGTTGACTGAACCTGGTTCAGTTGAAATAATAAAATGTCTATATTACCCTTATCTCAACTCAAATATTACAAACCTAATTTTTTAATCTTATCAACCTCTTTGCCGTCGATCTTCTTTTCTCCTCTCCTTCTCTCCTTCTTTCGCCATGAAAGGAGCTTGAAGCTCTCACCTCACTGTGGCTCTCTCATCTCTCTCCCTCTCTCGCCGTCTCTCTCTCTCGCCGTCTCTCTCTCTCCGCGTCTCTCCCTCTCCGCGTCTCTCCCTCTCCGCGTCTCTCCCTCTCCGCGTCTCTCCCTCTCCGCGTCTCTCCCTCTCCGTGTCTCTCTCTCTCCGCCTCTCTCTCTCCGCCTCTCTCTCTCCGCCTCTCTCAGGTATCTATCCCTCTCTCTCTATATCTCTAAAGCTTGTGTGGTAGCTTGTGTGTTCATAGAGAGATCTCTGATTTTTCATGAAATTTGATCTAATTGTTGATGGGTTTGCTTGGTTTTCAGAATGAGTTCATGAAATTTGATCTAATTGTTGATGGGTTTGCTTGGTTTTGTTTGTTGATGGGTTTTCTTTTGGTTCATCACTTGCTTGANCTCTCTCTCTATATCTCTAAAGCTTGTGTGGTAGCTTGTGTGTTCATAGAGAGATCTCTGATTTTTCATGAAATTTGATCTAATTGTTGATGGGTTTGCTTGGTTTTCAGAATGAGTTCATGAAATTTGATCTAATTGTTGATGGGTTTGCTTGGTTTTGTTTGTTGATGGGTTTTCTTTTGGTTCATCACTTGCTTGAGATTACTATGATTCTCGTATTCTTGTGAGAAGTTATGACATGCTTAGAGGCTGCACTGATATTGTTACGTTGGTCTGTGTCGTTCTATATGTAATGTGTTCTAGTATCTGTATCATGTTTGTGATTTGCTGGTTAGAAGTGATAATAGTGGCTAGTACGAACCATTCTTGTAAAGTTAGCTGTTCCTTTAAAATAAAGTTTATGTCATGTTTCATCTTGTAAAGCATTAAAAAGAAAGTTGCTTCATCTTTTGTCATTGTGCCTTTTGCATTATGAAGCATTGCCCTCTTGGTTTAATCATGTTTTACTTTTGTTAGATTAGTGTGTACAATGGTGGAGCTAGACGTAGAGTTAGAGTTAAGTGGTAATATTGATCACATGCTTAAACTGATACATATGTTAATGATCTTACTCCTGACTAATTTGAACATAAATATAACACGCATCACGTATGAAACAACGAGGCTTCATAAGCATGTCTATCCATTATGTTGTCATTNTGCTTAAACTGATACATATGTTAATGATCTTACTCCTGACTAATTTGAACATAAATATAACACGCATCACGTATGAAACAACGAGGCTTCATAAGCATGTCTATCCATTATGTTGTCATTCTTCTTTGTGGTTCACATTTTTGCGAGTAGTCAACAGAGAATGGATTAATTTAAAACATCATCTACTTTATTGATAAATACTTCCTTTTTCATTTATCTGTTTGTGTTTCATATATCTGTTTCATATATCTTTTGCTTGTACTCTACTTGTACTCTATTAATTGTTTGCTGATTCATGTGGAGTAGTTTTGAATTCATGGAAATGGATAAAGATTGTAACAGCAACAATGGCCCTCCACAACTTTATTCGAGATTCTCAATGGGAAGATAGAGATTTTTTACATTGGGAAGGAGTGGAATCATATGAGCAACATGGTGATGATCAAGAACAAGAGCATGTTCAATACGTTCCAGCGGGTGATAGAGTGATGGAGAGTATACGCCACTGTATTACTATGGAGATGGGAAGAGGAACTCGGCTTCCTTACTAGCATCATACAGGTATGAGTCTTGGTCATTCTCTGAGTTGAAATATTGATGGGTTAGCTTGGTTTTGAGAATGTCTAGTTGATAGTAAATGTACTGTCTAGCTTGGTTGTGAACGTACTCTCTAGCTTGGCTTTGATAGTTGATAGTAAATGTACTGATTCAGCATTGTTTGAGGTAGATTGAAGCTTTCTTGCTAGTTTGATAGTACACTTTCAGTGTGGTTTATGTGTAGTTTCTGAGTTGTTGCTTGGACTGAAACATTGAGTTTTGGGCTTCCTGTTCTCACGAGCTCTGGTGCCATGTAGCCGAATGTTCCATCCACTCTAGAGGTCTTAGCTTCATCTCCACGTTCATGAGCCTAGCCAATCCGAAATCTCCAAGACTTGCATTCATTTTATCGTTCCTCTATGGCAGATTTCACTTTACTATGGGCACATTTCTTATAATCTCTCTCTATGGCAGGTTACTTGTGGAGCATTGAGAAGGTTACTTGTGGAGCAAGAAAAACATGAGTCTATACTTTGGGTTTTATGTGTGGAGCATTTAAATTTATGTGTTTCTAATTTGAATTGTTTTGAAGTTTATTTCAAATTTGAGTATGTACTTTGAGTTGTTGGGAAGTTATTCAAATTTGAGTTTTAACTTTGAGTTTTATTAGANATATTTTATACTAATTAATATTAATTAGTATAGCTAAACTTAATAGCAAACATTTAATTAAATTAAAATAAGGGTATATTTGTAATTTGTTTATCAAGTTCATTTGAATGGAGATAAAAAAAAAGAAACAAACATGAAATTCATTCAAATGGTTCATTCAAATGATTCATCTAAATGGAAAAACGAACAACCCAAAAAACTGAATGAATCATTTGAATGAATCACATAAATGGATCATTTGAATGGATATTACAAATGGAGAAACGAACAGGCCCTTGGTAGGGTGGGGGACTCGATTTAACTAAAGCTATACTTTATAGGAAATAATAAATTAATTTTGTAATATTTCGTTAGGCTTTTGTAAGTACAACTAAAACTCTACTATACAAATCCTATCTGATCATATGATCTCCTCTTAAAGAGCTAGTTCCACCACTATATGACTCTGTGTTAGAGAGTATTCGAAGACATACCACAATTCCTGAAAGGTAAAACATATTGATAATTAACAGCTTAAGGTAAGTAAGTGTCCACTTTGGAAGTCTTATAAACTTCAACTTTTTTTTCAACCAATCTAACTGCTATCAGAAGAAATAGGATAAACGGATTGCTGCTTATATTTCCTTTATTATAGACTTTTCAAACGAAATGAAAATTTGTTTCCAAGTACAATGAAGATACAAAAAAAAAAATGAAAACCAACTATCAGATCACATAAACAACCTTAGAAAAACACATTATTATGCAGAAATAACAAGAGAGACAACATAACACAAGAAGAGGTCTCTCTATCTACTCGAGGCCAAGACACTGATAAATGAATGCAGTGACCTTCTCCGACTCAGGAAGGGCTTTAGCGACGCTCTCTCTCTGCAAACACCTTTTCGCCCACGCAACCAACTTCGAACACTCTGATTCGATACTCATATTCCCAAACTTGTCGTAGACTCCAAACCAGCTGTAAAATCCTATAAGAGCTATATCCACATATCCGAACGTCTCGCCTCCAAAGTAATGCTTCTCTCCAAGCTCAGCTTCTAGCGTCTTGAGTATCTCAATTAACTCTTTGGATGCTTCTTTCTCTTCACCTTTTGTCGCCCAAATCTTCCTTGCCGTAACATTCACCTGATATAAACCATTTGGTTAAAAATTTGTAAACCACCAAAATTAAACCAAACTAATCCAAGATAAACCGAAACAAAGCAGAAATTTGCATCCAAAACCTAACCAAAGTCAAATCAAATTAGAAACGTTCTTCTTTGTTTAAATTTTCTAACAACCTGAGTAAATCAAACACATGAACCAAAATCAAACTGCAAAGTTCTTACGAGCAGATCATTAATATATTTGTTTAAAATTTCAAAATACCTTTTTGTCGATGAAATCTCCCCAGAACTTGGCATGAGCTCTTTGGTAAGGATCAGAAGGAAGGAGTGGGTTTTCACGGGGCCAAGTCTCGTCGATGTACTCGACCTGGATGAGAGATTCACAGACCGGTTTACCATTGTGGATGAGAACCGGGATTTTCTTATGAACCGGATTCATTTCGAGGAGCAAGGAGCTCTTATTCTCTATATCTTGTTCTCTGTAATGATACTTGATTTTTTTCTCCGCTAGAGCGATCCTCGTCCTCATCCCAAACATACTAGCCCATAAATCCAAAAGAATCACCTCGTCTGCCATCGTTGCTCTTTGATTAAACTCACTTTGACCTTCTTGTTTTTTTTCTCTCTCTTTAGTAGTTTTTTGTAGCTAGTGTTTGTGTTGCGGAACCTGAATAGAAGAGGAAAACTTTAATCGGTCACTTTTTTGATTAAATAAGCGTTTGCTTAGGCCACTGCATGCGTCATCGTACATGGAAAAGTCAAAATCTGGTTTATACTTGGTACTTTATACTAACTAGGTGATTTTCCCGTGCTTATGCACGGGTATGAATATTCATAAAAGTAAAATTTTATAATAATTGATTTATATTTAGTTTTAGTTTTGAATTAATTTATATGTATAATTTATATTAATAAATATTATATTATTCTTTACATATGACTTTGGATATATTATTGTCGGTTTAATTATTTTATTAGATCAATAGCCGGTTTGCTTATCAATTTGGTATATTGGATAATATCTATTTTTTGCAGCTATAATACTTCTTATTCTAAATATAATAAAACTTTGATTAATTTTCTTATTTTCATTTTGGTTGGTTATTCTCTTAGATATGTAGATATATTCTTAAATATGTAAATATATTTATAGTAAAATTATGTATAACTTAATATATATTGTGCTTAAAATGAAATAAATAATAAGCTGAAGTGTTAGATTCAAAATTACATAAATGAATATAATGATAACATTTTGAAGTCTCATGCATATATATAAATTCTACAAAATAATTAAATTGTAATTGGTTAATATTTTCTTTTTCTTTTTAATATGCTTTGAGTCAATCTCTAATTTATATGTATAAAATTAAATAGTTTATTATTATTATTATTATAAAATTATTTGTTCTTATTGTAGTTATATGTTTAGTTTGGATATAAATTAGATTAGTCGAGTCATTCATTTTATGAGTATAGTGAGTTAAACATATTTTTAAATTAAAATTGAAGTATAATAACTTTTTATTTTAGTTAAGTCAAATCAAATTCATTTTATTTATCGCTTAAATATACATGTAATTTCATAATATTTATCTACTCTTTATTTTAGTTAAGTCAAATCAAATTAGTTTTATTTATCGCTTAAATATACATGTATTTCCATAATATTTATCAAATTATATGTTGATTTCTAAAAAAATATTAAAAAATAAAGTGTAACTGATAAATTTTTGGATGTACATGAACATATATATATTTTATTAATTCAAAAACATATTTTATGTTATTTAAAAATATATATTAATGGGGGTATTAATATTTTGTAAATTTTCCTTTTTAATAAAGTCATATTATATACATATTTTTCGTTTTTAATTTTTTAAATTTTTTTAGAAATATTTCCTTTTTATTATATATGTTATTTAGAAAATTTTAAAAAGAAAACTAAATAAAACAATTAATAATAATCTTAAAATCTACCAATTCATTAAGGGTATCTATGTAATCAACCATCATGAGAGTTAACGTGAACGCGCCACGTAGGAAACTGACTTCTCAAATAATATTATAGAGATTTTTAGAGCGTAACTTCCACGTAAAACAACGCGCGTATAATATAATATACTCTTTAGTTCTCCACAAATTTTATTTTTGGTCATTTCGCTTCTATATATATTCACATTTACACCCACCAAGGTCATCAAAAAACGACAAGATCAGTTTAAACAATTGGGAGGAAATATTTTTTGCCACGGGCAAAACCGTTAGAGTTCTCAAACAACGCAGTGGCTGGGCCGTCACGTCCATTATGTGTTAAGTTGATGTCAATCAGCTGAATATCTTTGCATGGAAAGCTTTTACTACATTGCAAATTTTTGTTATAGAAATCCACATAGGTCATATGATCCCTCTAAAGAGCTAGTTCCACCACTGTATGAGTCTTGACACCAGAACCCATGAAAGATATTTTTAATAAATAAACACTTAAAGCTGAGTAAGTTTACATTTGGGAAGTCTTCTAAAGTTTAATGTGTTTTGAACCAAACTAACTGCAATCAGAATAAACAGAATAAATGGATTGCTGCTTGTAATTTCATGATTTGGCATATATACTATATTCAACGAACTAAAAATTTATTTCCAAATACAAGTGAAGATACAAAAGAAAACAGCTGATCATCTGATCAACACTTACATGCACTTAGACAACCTCACAAAATCACGTTATTAGAAATAAACCTTAAAAAGATGGAGAGACACACAACAAGAGCAGTCATAGTACAACAGAACATCATAAGAGCATCTACTCGACGCCAAGACGTTGGGAAATGAACGTAGTGACCTTCTCAGACTCAGGCAAGGCTTTAGCAACGCTCTCCCTCTCCAAACACCTTTTGGCCCACGCAGTCAACGTTGGACACTCTGATTCGATACTCATATTCCCAAACTTGTTGTAGATTCCAAACCAGCTGTAGAACCCAATGAGAGCTCACTACAAGAAAACTCGTCCATTACTAGGACGGGTTTTCCTCGTTAGTTCCTAGTAAATGGCCTTTTACTAGGAACTTACGAGGAAACGCGTTTCCTCGAAACACGTTCATCGTAAAGACATTTTCCTCGTAAGGTTGTAGCGAATTTACGAGGAAAGTTTTCCTCGTAAAGGCGTGGTAATATTTTCCTCGTAAGG